CAAACAGTTTTTTGCATGTTTTAAAACTTAAAGTTTGTTACAATTAAAAATTCATTTCCAGGATGACATTTTTATTTAGACACTATTGCGCAAAATATTAGACAACGGAAATGAATACAATAAAATGCAAAGCGTAATCAATATTATTTAAAGTTTACAAAAACTTAGTACTGTTCATATTGCTCACAAATTTCAGCAGACTTGTTGATGCCAGTGTCAATTAGGTGCACTTTATTGTAGTGCATGATCACTTTCTGTTGAGTGAATTCTCTGAAAGTGCAATCCTGATGTGCACAACTGAACACTCCTTTGTGGTGCTCCAGTTCAGTGTGAATAGAAAGTTCTTTATGCGATAAAAGTTCATAGTTTATACAATGCTGGCATTTCCACATTTTTACAAAATCGTGCCAAAGGGCAATATGGTTTTCAAGCTCTTTTCTGAAAACAAAAAACCAAATTACAAATAAATTGAAAACAAGAAAATGACATGTTTAAACTACTTACTCAGAACTGTAACTTTCCTTACACCCGATAAACAGACATTTAAACTCACTATAAAAGTGATCTTTTTCAATGTGCCGCAGTAAATCGAGTTGATTGTTTTTATGGTAGAACGGTTTAGAGCACGATCCTACAGTACAGTTGATTATTTTAGGCACTACTTTTGTGCTGTAAGTTAGCTTATAGTGATGCTCATTTAAATTGTTTGTTTGCAAATTTTCTTGAGTTAAACTAACTTTTTCTTGATTAGATTTATTTATGTTTCTAAAATGCTCTTTTCTGATGTGTTGAGTAACTTTATCGAGCAAATTTGCCGTATAACTTTTGCATAATGCACAGGTAAAAATTCCTTGTTGATGTTTTAGTTCGTAATGCTCAAAATGATCTTCCGGTTTATTGTACTGTTTACTGCAAAAACGGCATTTCCAATTGCATTTTCCATGACCTTTGTGAGACTGTGATGTGTGGGTGTTTAAAGATATTCTGAAATAAAACATGTTTAACATTGTAAAAAGTTAAGTTTCAACAAATCAAGGTCTTACATGTTTGAACATCTGAAAGGGCAATTTTCAACCAAACAAAAGAAAAGTTCTAGTTTGTGGACAGTTTGTATGTGATTTTCGTAGTCGGTTTCAGTTTCAAACATCTCATTGCACTCGTTTTCGGAGCACTTTAGTTTCAAAACAATTATGTTTGCAAACTTGGCATTTGACCTATGCCTTTTTCTATTGTTAAAATTACCTTTTGGTAATTCGGTTGTTTGGTCAAAAGTAATTATTTGTTCAGTTGAGTTTACTGCTTGTGTTTCGTTAAAAACAAATTCAGGTGTTAAACTATGTGAAAGTAGAGAAACAGCTGAGGCAGTTTCATTCGTTAAATTGGATTCAGTAGTTAACTTTTGTTTTTTAACTGGTGGGATACTGATATTCGTAGAGCTATCAGTTTCGTTGTTTAAATTTTCAGCCACATTTGTTGTAGTGTCATTTTCTACAATGGTTGCTAATTTTGAATTAGGTTTTGCGTTTTCTTTTTGTTGTCTAATTGATTGTTGGGAGTTATCATCAAAAGCAACTGGTGTTTTGGTGATAACCACTTCAGAAGATGAAGATGACACTTGGCTGGATTTGTTTTTATTTAAAATGTTTACAGTCAAATTACTGTTTGTTGGCACATTTAATGAAACGGTTGTTGTTGCGTTAGTGATTGAAGGTGGTTGGTTTTCAGCACTGACACAGTTGGCTAAAAGTGCTTTCAGTTGTTGGGTCGTTTTGGCAACTAAATCACTTGATTTGGAAAAACTTTTTGGTGTTGATGAAGAATCATTTTCACAAGTTGCACCGCCTTTTTCAAATTGCCGTAATTGTGTCGTTTCGTTTGAAACTTTTGCAAAGCTGTTTAATGTTTGTTTCACACTCAAATCAACTGGTTTAGTACTGATGTTGCTGTAGCAGTTTTGTCCGTTTAAACTGTTGATTTGTTGATTTAGTTTCGTTTCAATTTCATTAAAAATATTTTCAATTAGTTGCCGAGCAAATTCTTCCAACAGTTTTTGTAACTGTGATTTAAAATCTTCAGAAAAATTCATTGTAAGCAACAATTTAGCAAACGAATTTGCAACATAAAGTTTGTTTTTGTCGTCTTTTTTATTACTTGTGCAGCTTGCTCAAAACGTGCTTGGCTGCTTGAATGTGTGTTTACGTATTCGTCTCAGCTTGCCAGACTCGTAATCAGTGGCGTTTTAACAGTTTGAATTAGCAAAGACACTGTCTTCTGAATACGCGCATTGACAAAAATAGCGCCCTTTTTACGAGTCCGACAAGTTGTAAAATATAACTTATGCATTTAAAAAGTGTGGAAATAATTGGTCTATTAATACTTTGTTTAGTTTTTTAGTTTGTTTCAACTGAAAACTAGTGTATTTTTATCAAGGTCATTATTTTTTGTTTTGTAATCAAAGGTAAACTAATTTAAAATAAATTTCAAAAAGTTTCAAAATTGTTTTACAAATAAAAGTAACAATTTTCTTTTTGAAAACAATTTATTAAATTACCAAATTTAATGTTTGATTGCTTTAATGTACAGGCAAAACTCACACTGTTGATAAAAACTGTCTTGCGGTGTTTTTCAATAGATGCGAACGGGCCGCAAAAACGCTCACTGTTGTGCATGGTGGCGCTGTGGGCGTCAACAGTTGCTGGCGTTTCAACAATGTGAATTTTGCCTGTATATTTTTAGCTGAACCAAAAATAATGTAATTAAAAAATGTTGAAAATTTAATGACAAATATTATTAAACATTAAGTATTTCAGTTTGTTATGTTTTTGCAAATTTGTTTAATTTTATCTTATTGAAGTTATTGCCTAACTCAATGTTTATCTTTTTTGTTTTTAATTGCTTTAAAACTGATAGTTACAAATGCGTACTCTTAAGTAAACTTAGTTTTGATGTTTGTTCACTTAAACAATGCCTCAAATTAGTTGTTTTAACAACCGTTGAAATTACATTGACTAAACAGGAACGCACTAGTGCACTAAACAAATGGAATACATATGTGGGTTTTTATTTTAAAATTTATATTTAAATAAAGTTAACAAAAAAATAACCTGTATAATTAGACAAGTTATTGCCTGTTTTTTACAGTTGTTACAATATTTTTGCCGTTTGTTTGTAAAATCGGTTTTAATAAAAACAAAAAAAATTTGTTTTAACATTGAATATTTTTTTGTTTTAACATTGTTTCATAAAAACAAATATATTTTTAAAATATATTTAAATGAAAACATTTAATAACAAACAATTAGAGAAACATATTTGGTGGATCACATTGACAGAGATTTCCCCCCATAGAAGGATTAGACAAACAAATTTTTTTGCAAAACAATTTAATTTTATTGGCAACATAGTGAGTGGTAGTTAAGTCCAATTGTGGAACCGATATTGTTGGCAATGGTTCATTAATGCCTTGAGTTTCAATTAAAGCGCACTGAACAAAAAAACCAAAAAAACAAATAAACACACAAAAAATTAAAATTTTTTTTGACATTTTTCTAGAAAAAAAGTAGCAGTATTATAATAGTAATTTAATTAATTAAAAATTTTGTTTTATTGCCTGTCTTTTATACATAACCAAAATCCGCCACTACTAGATCAATTAAAAACTTTTATAAACTATAACAATAATCTTTATTGATATGATTGGTTTAATTAAAAACATTTTTTTCAAAATATTGACAAAACTTACATTAAAACTTTGTTTTTAACATATAAAAAAATCAAAATATAAAATGTTTTTAAAAGCTTAATTATTTTTTTGTGTTTTGATAAACTAAAAAAATTAAAAAATTACAACAAAAAGTAATATTTGCATTTTATTAACTACAAGTGTTAATTGCAATTTTTTGTGGACCAATCCACAAATTTTTTTAGTTTTGCAATAAAAATTTAAACTAAAATGTGATTTAAATAATAATACACTTGAATTAAAAAATAAATGGTTTGTAATGTGTTTAATGATAAAAAGCATACACGACTGACAACAAGTTAATTGAGAGTAACCTTAAACTACGCCAAACTTTTTACAAATAAAATTTTGTTTTGTTTTTAATATAACAATACAAATAAAAATTTAAAAACAATGTCCATTGAAAATGATATTGATAGCAATCCTGCATATGAAAACAATATGCAGTTTAAAAATATATGTTTATATGTCATGTTTATATTTATGTTAATTTATTTTCACTAAAATGTTTAGATTTTAAAACAACTTTTCAGCAAAAATTTTTCAAAAATTAAAATTTTTATGTTACATTTGTTTTTATTGAAATAATAATTGGTTTTATAAATTAAAAATTAAATAAACATTTACAATAGAGAATGATACAATAATATAAATAAAAAATTTGCAATTAAAGAAATAAATTAGTTAATAAAATATAAATAAACAAATAAAACAAGTGTTCAGTAATAAAATAAATAAAATTTGATTCGGTCAAGTTGAAGTTACAAAAGCATCACAAACAAACAATTTT